ACGTCTAAATCTTTCTATGCACGAAACTATGATAATAACTGAGTGTTGGCCTATATAGTGCATATATATGCTCAGCAGCATAGTAATAATAATAGTATTCGCTTTATAGCTATTATTACCCCATAAGACTTTAGAACACATTCTCTGCTTCCTGGAAAGCATACCGTGCAAGCAGCGAAATAGCGCCCATAAACTAACAGACAATATTTTTCACCACCTACATTTTCCCCCGATACAATTCCGAGTTTGAACCCGCAAGTTCTCGGTTGTGAACCCAACAGCCTAACAAATAGACCACCGACGTCACAAGTAGCCGTTATTGTGTTGCTGGGTTTCTCTTGAGCTGAGACTCGGCTATTTTCTCTTTCCTGGTTTGGATCAGGCTTTAAACACTCGGGGGGGGGGGGGGGGCAGAATGATTAGAGACCGGGTGTTTTATTGCAAAAAGGTCAGTTCAGCAACGTCCAAGTGCTGAAAAGCTAAAACGAGGAAGATGGTTTGAACAATTTCAAGTCTGCGTATCGGACGGAAGGTCCGCTTGTATCGGTGGTAGGCACGAGAAGTCAAATTCGAGCGAGTGGTTCAAGTTCGAATCCAAGAAGCGAATCTCTCTTTGAAGGCTCCCCTTCTGTTCTGTGTGCTGACAGTTGCAAACTATTTATTGTAACGTTCTCCTGTTGAATGGAATGAAATATACACAGTTTTGCTGTATTACGGGTATAACAATACATTGACTCGAGGACAGAATTTTAGAGCAAGGGAAGAAAAAGGAGAAGGACAAAAAAAAGAGGGAGGGTAGGAAGTAGCCTGCGGCATACCAGTTGAACCACCACACATTGAACCTAAGGAAGCGAAGAATTCATTTCAATTGGTGAAGCTATTATACCTATTTCTAACCTTGCGACTCTGTCAAAAATTTTAAAGTCCACAACATAATGTCATCTAATACTGAACTCTTTCTCTTTTTGAGAATATTGTTTATAGTTTAAATGAAGCAAAGAATATGTTGAATTGCGTCACAACGTCTTGTTACATTATTCTCTAACTGTAATATTTTGTGAATGTTTTACGCCCCCATTTGCACAATTCGGGTCATTTTAAGGGGTAGGCTACTTTAACCTGGGCTGAGAGCGAAACAGCATCCCAGTAAACAGACGTGGTTACTCGATTAAAATAACTTCTGCACACAGTGAAAAGTGAGAAAATCTATATGGGTTTTACGTTCTTCTCAACATTACCAGGTTATTTAGGAGGCAGAACCACTCAACTGGCAGAGAAAAAAAGCATATCATGCAACGCAATAACGTTCAGTTAGTGCATGGATAAAGCAAGACACACAGACAGAAACAAGAAAAAGGAAAGGTAAGAAATAGGACCTGCCAATGGCACCCTCCAGCTACCCACAGGTACTATCGAATTTAACGGCCTACTCCGACCTGAATGGGGTGGACAGACTTGAAAATTCCACCAAGCGACTCGAATTTAAGAGCACCCAGTTTAGGATTCGACCAGGCCATCCGCTCTGTGGTCCAGCATCATACCAACTGGGCTCCTCCTCACGAAAATCGAACTCACACTTGGTCGCTTTTAACTTTATTTTAAGGCAGGACATACGGGCTAAGCCAGATTTTGGGGGTTTCCAGATATCTTAAATCAACGCCAAAAGTGGGCATTGTCCTACCTATCGGAGACGTTTGGTTTCATTGGTGTGTATATTTGTTTGGTTATAGAGAAAACTCTCCTTTGTCTTTTAAAGAAACTAAACAAAGGTCTAAAAACTGTACCTTCGATTTTCTCAAAACAGCATCTTTCGGAACAGACCCCCCCCCCCCCCCCCCCCGTGCTTAAAAGTGACCAATTATGAAATCTTTTACGTGCAACATCCTTCGTTAGTACCCCTTGGATAAACAAAACTGTGGTATTAGTCACAGAGAGGCCGATTCAAATAATGCTTTTTAAAAACTCAAACAAGTTAATAAAAGAAAACAAAACAAAAAAGAACAACAACAACAACAACAACAACAACAATGACAACAACAACAGTAACGAGCCAACCAACTAACAAAACAAGCCTTTATTAGTCAGGATTGTGTTCCCTCATCATTGTTACTTTATTGGATCGAGAGAGTTGGTTCAGAACATATTTTGTTTATATTCAGGATGTCATTATTTATGTAAACAAAATGTTGCAGTCCAATGGACCAGGGAAAGACCTCGAAAACATTATTTTTTATTTAGGAATTCCAGGCTCGATCTCTCAGAAAACTGATGGTAAACAACATGTTACGCAGGCCATACACTTACAGGAGGAATAAACTATCGGCTTGTTAAAAAAAAAATCAATAGCGTTTGAGAAAACCAGTGGCTTGAACAAGGAGATAGTCGGTACCAGACATATGTTTATTTTTCTTGATACATTAATTTTAATTTCACAACCAAACGAATCACATTAAATTAAATACCTTCAATTTGACGCTAAACACGAATGTACAGCAAGAGCACTGATAATAACAATTTCTTCTCCATAATATTATTATGAATATTATGTCGATGTCATTTTTGTATACCTTGGAATGCACATGCTGTAAATTTGCAACCGAACTTTCGGACTGAAAAGAAAAAGCAAATAACACTACCTTACAAATAGACAACATTCTAAATTACGGTATCCATCTTTTGTATTTCTTTGAGTGGTGAACAACAGGCGACGCCACTTTTGAATTCACTTGTTGCTTGACTTTCCTAAATGGCTGACGGCATAGGGTCCCCAAGAATGTAAATATCAAACTATAATCAAACATATCTAGTTAGAAAATACAATAGTTACTAATGTTTGCATGTACTTCAAGACTCTCTGAATTGAGTTTGTGTAAATATTTGATGTTTTGCTGCTGAACTATTCACTTTCCGTGAGTATAAAAGTCAATGTCGCAAAAGTGCAACTGTGGGAGTTTGGCATTACATTTTTTTTCAGTAGTCAAGATGAAGATATTGCAATCACTCCCAGTATGCTACTGTCAATTCAGCTACGGATAGACCTAGCGAAGGATCAAGATACCGTGTGATGTAGAGGAAAGATACCAGTATTGATGTAGAGAGATATATGTATACGACTATAGGAGATGGTTAATCGGCTCTCGGGGCTGTACGTAAGAAGGGTTTTGAACGATGCTACTGTATAGCTACACTTTACACCTAACACGTAATATTAAAGAGGTGAAGCAACGGCTATCGGATTTGGGACACTTCTTTCACTTTCACTTACTCGTGCCTATTTCCACGCAATAAAAGATTAATATTAAGGATATATACGTAAAAATCACTTGTTTACTGCAAGTATTCTAAGTCAGTAGAAATGGAAGCAATCCTTCTCGTTTTGGCTTCTTTTCATTCTGCAGAGTCCGTCACTGCCGCCTCAGTTTCGTTATTGAAGAAGATTTGAAGAGAACACAATGTCGAAGAAATATCTACGTGTCCAGGATGTAACGGATGACACAATGATGATGACGAAAGTTATGAGCCACCTATTCAGCATCAGTCCTCTGCCGAATCTGATGATTCTGATGCAACCAGCTATGATAATTATCCAGACTTCATAAAACAAAGTGGCCTTTTGACAGGTTCTCTCCACTTCCTCAGCTTCGCCCTATTGGGCACCAAATCGATGTATACCTTGCTATAATTACTCTAAGTGCTTGATCTTATGCCATAATTTTTGTTTTCAGATTTTGGTGTATTGTGTAACTTTTCTCAGTTTTGGTGTTGGTCTGTGGTGGAACGGTTTGACGTTTCACCGTCGCACGTAGAAAAAGTGATTTCGATGCCTGCATGAGGCAAATTTTTCTTTAGTATTCTGTCTGTCTGCTGGGACATAGTATCCCAGTCTATGGATTGTTTAAAAATAAGGATCTGTTCCATTTACTTCTTTGCCAGCAGCCTATTGAAAAGTGCTTTGTTGACGTTCTGTTTATAGTTGTACACCTTTTCCGAATTACCTTATAATTTATTTTTCTATTTTTCACCCCTTGAAAAGCGTTAACTTCATAGAGTTGAAAAACGTATATTTAAGGTAAACAAATGTGGAATTAAGAATCACACACTGAACTTTTTCTGCCTTCACAGGTTTTTTCTTGTGGGTTTTTTTTTGGTGTTTTTTTTTTGTTATTGTTTTTTTTTTGTTGGTAAGACTGAACAGTCTGTTATGGTGCAAATGAGTTGATATGTGTGTAACAGGAAAGTTAGAGGGTAAATGAGTGTGTAAATATGTACCTGAGAAGTACAGCAACAGATGAAATATTTGAGGCTTGCAGCCAAGAGTTGCTGATTTGTAAACCAGGTATTTTACCCCTTCCTAAATGTAATTACCCAGAGTTGCATCTTTGCAACAAGCCATATATTATGTGATTTTGGGGGCCATCGAAAAAAAACTTCTACAGTATCTACTTTTCAGTCTATACCACTCCGGTGGGTTGAGAGAATAATTTTTCTTGTGACCAGAAGACACTCTGAGCATCCAAATTAATTAATCTGTTTGACGAAGACAAATCGTTCAAACCAAGAGCTAAATGATGTAAGAGTACGCGGCAAATTCTCTCATGCTCATACCGTTAAAACGAACCGCCCGAAGTCTGTCATTCAAAAAACCACGACGTGACTGCACATTTCATGATTTTGAAAAAACCCTGAAAATCCCTTGGCGAGTATCATTAAGATTAGTCACTTTCGAAAATTTACCAGTTTGAAAACCTTTGTCCCGGAGGTGGATACGTCGTCCTGCCTTTGTCACAAGAAAGATAGGTTCGTGACTAGCGTAACAAAAGAATAAAATGAAATAAATTCGATTTTGCTAGATAAGTCGTTCTGCCTTGGTATGGCAGAGCCACATACTTGAGCATCCGACTCGTAAGCGTATGACGTGCCTTACAGAGCTGCCCACATCAGCATCCGACCCGTAGGTGTATGGCCTGCGTTAAAGATTTGAACTGGCTCCCTTGTGTCCCTCAATGTTGTGTGGACCAGCCAGTGTTTGTGTCTGCTGGCACTGCTGTCCGGATTTTGTAGACGTTCTGCCTCTGCTGCAAGCTGGGCGGCATGAACGGAACAGTTTTGTTGCGCACAAGCTCCTCCCGCAGCTCTGCACATGCGTGGGCCAGCATCTCGGGAGAATTTAGCATGTCTATTGCGGACATCGCCAGTGCTTTTGACATGGCCACGGCGTAGCGGTGAGCTTGCACGGTGCCTGAAAAATGTGTCGCGACGGGGTAGAATCAGGGGCTCGTCAGTTGTTGTTTCTTTTTGGCTTATGGCGTTAGTGGAAATATCTTAAAGCTTGTTCATATTATATCTTGCTTTTAGTGAAAAAATACTTCACTTTTATATAAAGCTTCACGAAGCTGCACTATTCAAAATGCTGAAACCTGGAGAGAAGCCTGCAAGCAGCGACCTTTGAATGCTCAAAATGGGACAAACTTTTCTCTGCTAGAATTGGTCTCAAAGGACATGTCAGAAAAGCTACAAGTCATCTTAACCTATAATCCTTTCTCGCTTGAGGAGTATTCTCTTGTGTGGATGCATTGGTCACCGTCAGACATTGACAAACGAATATATGTAATATTAAAAATGATAATAATATACCGAGTTGCAAAAGTTCTGTCAAACCCACCTTAAAAGTACAATAACTCATTTACTACTCAACATAGCGAAGAGAAATTTGGTACACGCGATCTTTATTCATTTTCTGCCAACAGGACATAAAAAAATTGACAAATGTCCTTCCTTATTCAAGGGAGATAATTCTATACACACTGGACTGTTGCAAAATCCAAATCAAAGTTTGCTCAGTATGACGTGTGGCCTATTCCAGCTTGAATTACTGATACAAAACATCTGTTCATTAACTGAATTGAAGTCCTTATGGTTGTCTGAAGAATCCCTTGCCATTCCTTGTGAAGTGCAACCTTCAGTTCCTGACCAGTTTGTACGAAGTGCGGCCTGTTTCTAATCCTCCAGTCAAAGTCATCTTACAGATGTTCTGTTTGGTTATGGCTTGTGGATCTTACAGGCCAGTCCAGAACAATGATTTGATGAGTTTGGAAGAAGTTTTCATTGATCGTAGCCATTTGTGGTCGGGCATTGTCTTGTTAGCAGATTCTATCATCTGTGCCATGTAGGGCAGTCAACGTGACGAAGAGTTTCGTCACAATAATGTCGTTATCTGAGGTTGATTCGAAAAGTAACTAAATGTATAAGATAAAAAGCTGAGATTCCACCCCCTACCATCACATTTCAGCCACCTTCGGGTCTCTTGAGGGACGTTGGATTTATGAAATTTCTATTCTCTTCTTTTAAACACTTTTTCTCTTCCATCAATTCGACCTTAACCATTGCTGAAAAGAACACTTTACCAACGTCTTTAGTTTCATCGACAATGTTGTTGTGCCAAAATTTGGCGATTTCTTCTATGAAATAGAGTTAAAATGGCTCCATATATAGGGAGACAATCACGTAATCTACGATCTTATAAATGTGTAATAATGATGTTTCAAGACAGTCCGAAGTGCCTGGCAGTCTCTGCACTAAGTTGGAATAGGTTTTGAACATGGGTGTTGACAATTACCCAATTCTGATGTTGAGTTGTCGCCCTTAGTTGGCTACGTCTCATCTTGTCTTGGGCAGTTTTAGTGGTGTTAAAACGTTTGTTCAAGCGTTAGGTGGTTCCTCTGCAAACATTTACGTGTCTTGCAACAGCAGAAAGCGCAACTAAAGAATTTATCATACACACAGCCCCTTTATTTTCTTAATTTATTATTTTTAAAATTTTGAAAACAGGAGAAAAACGTACCCAAGCCTTAAAAAATACGGAAGTTTAAAGTGTGTTAGGTGTGTTTACACATTGTCTACTTGATTCAGAGCAAATTTTGTGTGTAGGAAGCGTTGATTTCAACACAGACCGAGAGAAATCAATACCAACACTTTGTCCACGTACTATTTCCGGTTTATGATTTCTTTGGTCTGCTCTTGCTCAAGAAGTCTCATAAGTCCCACAAGTCATTCATTTAACTTGTACTGTAATTCTTACGCTATACCGAAAATTATCGTAATATAATGGGTGTGGCAGAACTTTTGCAACTCGGTATAGTAATAAGAACAACAACAAAAGAACAATAATAATAATTGTGATAAAATGTTTATTGTACTAATAATATAATAATAATGATGATGATGATGATGATGATGATGATGATGATGATGATGATGATGATGATGATGATGATGATGATGATGAT